CACGTCAAGAGGATACTCGGGATAAGCATACAACCACACAATTCAGTTCACTCATGACTTAAAGGGGACGGAGCACTTAAGCTTTGGCACCTGCCTAGTTGTCGGGTTGCTGGTTGTCGGGGTTGAGACCTTCTCCTAGAGACAAACCTCCCGTGTATGTTTGATACTATCCAGATAAGACAATGTCTCAAATAACCTACCAAAGATGTTCATAGTGGATACCTGGTCATGTCCGCGAGGCGGGTCTTTGATAGAGCGCTCCTCGCTAGCGCTAGCTTGAGTCGCCACAGCCTTCGTACCCTCTCTAGTCGGAGGGCTCTTGGATTTGCTCATGGCTCTCTTGCTATCTGGAAGGGACACATTGCCGGGTTCCCCTTGCGATCGCAGCTTCCTTTTCTCCCCTTGAGGGACTGATCAGGTGGCCGGTGTCTTCCTAGGCTTCGCTAGTCCCCGTACCGTGTCCTCCTTGGCCTTCTTCCCCCAGGTCGGCTTCGGCTTGGGGACGGGGGGTCCTTGTGGGAGGGGCCTGCTCCTGTGGCAGCCTCTCCCCGACCACTATCTGCTCTTGGGAAGCGTTCTCCTCGATCTCTGCCTATTCCTAGGCCGGTTCATCCATGGCCCTGACAAGCTTGAGGGCTGGGACTTGAGGAGCCCTTGAGGCATCCTCTTCGTCATCACTCAGTTCAACGCTTCCCGAGATGATTCCGATATCGAGGAGCGCCTGATAACACAAGAAGTCAAGTAAACCTGACTGTTTAGCGAAGCAAGTCTAAAAAGAGCTAAGTCACTCACCCCTGGAAGTGGGTTCTCAGCACTATATGGTTGCGGGACACCGTCCCAATTGGCCCGGTCCACGCCGAGGATATACTTCACCAATGAGTGATGTCTTCTTCTAACACTTCTAGAAAAAACAAGTCATGGTTAAAACCAAACAATCGAAGGGGTAAATATTTCTGAATAAGAATGAAGTCGGGATAGGATCTAACCTGCTTCTGACTCTCTGTTCAGATCTATGACCCCCGAATATGTGTAGGCTAGACTCCTACGCTTCAAGGGAATGATCCTCCATCTAGAAAGGTCTCGACTATGTGTGCGGCAGTCAGTCTAGTGTTTCGAAGTGCCCGAACACGCTCGATGTGACCTTGCATCTTTTCAGTCATGATGGGAGTTGAATACTAGGCTTCACTAGTCACAGGCATCCTATAATTGGCCTTAATGACATTCCTCTCCCAAAGGTCAATGTAAAACTATTTTGCCTTCCAAGAGGACTTAACCGGGAAGACAATGTATTCTCCTTTCTTCCTAAGGGAGAAACCGACCGACCTAACGAACAGATTGGTGCCATGGTACATGCCCGAGTAAAAGTAGCACCATAAATCGAGATAAGGTTTGACCCCAAGCCATGCCTCACACAGAATGGTAAAAATGCTAAGCATGGCGATGGCGTTGGGTAGCATCTGGGCCACCTTGATCTTATAATGCCTACAGACTCGCTCCAAGAACTTGGATGGTGGCACTCCAAATCCGCACTCGTAATGAGCAGTGAAGGTGGTGATTTGGATGGTGCCTGGGGTCGGGTGGTTCTCACCTTGGGTTGCAGTCCACACATAGCCTTCTAGGAGAAGACCACGTCTCTAGATTCGCCTCCAATGTCATCGAGGTGGTCCAGCACTCATTCAACTAGACGACCACCACAGGCACCACTGGCTCCGCTAGGTCCTCGGGTTCCTCCTTCAGTTGGGCCAGGGGATGGGGCTCCGACATGGTAGTTTCCTCACGGCGAGCGGTGGCATCATGCTCAGAGCTTGAGGCCTTGGTGGTGGCGAAAGGGAGGAGTTGAGGGCAAGCGAAAAGGCAAAAAGGCAAAGGGCATAGATTCGAAATGCTAAGCAGGACAATAGGCACAGCAGTTGCCACCGAACCAAGGTGAGCGGTTAAATGGCCGCCTGCTATGTACAATCCCCGAAAAATCGCTCAGCAACCGTAACGTGCGCCTAGACTGCCGCACAAATAGTTATTCATAAGGAAAAGTATCACTTTCTTATTCCTAGAATAAAGTTTGGTGATCCGGTGCCCCATGAATAATCAATACTTAAAGATATTTTGTGCCCGAGTTATGGGTAAAGCTCCAACCCGACTAGAGCAACCCGACTAGTCTGTAGGTCGGGGCTGTGAGTAAACTCAGTAATCGGCTGCTAAACTTATCCTGACTTTGGACTATGCCCACGTGGAAAGTGCGTCGCGGCTCTGCTCGTGGCGACTTGAGCATGGAACAGTTTGGAAAATGCGGATAAAAGCAGGATAACTATCCATATCGGGAACTAGTCATTTCGTTGATATAATTCATTAACATGGATTTACAAATGATTAAACTGGGACCCTAATCTAAGATAGTAGGAGCAGGCACTTCCTCCGATTGTCACCAAGCTCCTTAGAGGGCTGGCTGACGAGATGGGAGTAGCCTAGCTCCTCGATGGCAACCCGCCGCCCGCAGGCTCGTCCTTCTCCTCCTCCTCGTCGGCCTCCTCCACCTCGGTGACCTCTTCCTCACTATCGCTGCTGAGGATCACTAGGCCACCATCTCCCGATATGCCAATGGCCTCATGATTCAGCTCGACAAAGAGCCTCCTCACGATCTCCTCATCACGGCTCGTGTCCGGTGAGCCAACGGTGCAAGGAGCAGAGGGGTCGGGGATGTCAAGAGCGGTGGAGGCAACGGAGGCGATGGGGGCGGTGGAGACGATCGGCAACCAGGCGCCGCCACCCGGCTGAGGTTGAGCCTTCCGCTGGCTCGTCCTCGTCGGAGAGCTCAATCACCACCTCTGGTGCTGACGGCATCGTCTGGGTCGACAGCCTAGTCGGGGAACCCGGCGGAGCTCTCTCATCGACCCCAACATCCCCATCCGGGATCGCTGGGGCTGGGGGCATGGGAAGCACAACCAGCAGCGACATCACGAGCCGGCGCTGGGGCTCCGGAGGATGTCGGGGATGGAGACACAGGCGCAGACGGTGGGGGTGACAGCGTACTGCCCGATGACGCCGCCTCAACCAATTGGCTGGGCGAGTTGGCGAGCAGCAGCGCTGACACTTTGAGGGACGCTATGCCGCAGCGATTTTCTTCCTCATTTTTGCAACAGTATTGGGGAATGGAGGATGCAGATTCATCACGAGCGGGTCTGATTAAATAGGACCAAGCCACCTTCTTAGGAATCTCAACCGTCGTCCCAATTAAAAAGGAATTAAATCTCCACCACGCGTAGTCATGGGAAACCGAAATGACTTAACGCTCGATCGACAGATGACCGTAGGCGCCCCGGTTTTTGCATGTGAAATGGGATTGACAAGACAAGACGACCCGGGGATGGCACTGCAGCAAGCTCATCTCCCAAACAGTGCACCTTTATTGGCTTGCATGGGATCGGGATTTAAGTCGCTATTGGTAACCCGGGCTACCTCTTGGTTCCCAAACTACAAACCACCCGACTAGGACAATCCTGACTACTCGCAGACAACCAAGTTGCGTTTGACAGACAAGCTTGGGGGCTTATGTCGATGCCATACCCCTAGGTACCCCGACTTCCATATTGCCGACTATCGACTCCGGATCCGAGAAGACCCGAAGGCCCATGACGACCCTACTCAAGGAAGGATATCTCTGGATTGCACCAAGACTCCGATTAGGGCATGACTCCTTAGCTTGTAGGGCAAGTTGATCCCGGATATAAATAGCTAGCAATATCCCCCATTGTATCTATCAACTCTCTCATAGGCATAGCTACATTGTAACAGAAATTTCATTGAATATAAGCAATACATGAAGTAGCAATTGGACGTAAGGCTTTTACTCGCTTCCCGAGGGCCCAAACCAGTATAAATCTTGTCTCCATCTGTGATTGTTCTTCGCACCAAGCGGGGTTCCCCAAGAACCAAATATCTGCCGGTAAAAAACACTAGCATATATTATATTAATGAGAACTATGATTGTGGGCACAATGTTTGTAACTAGCATTTAGTTTCTAAACGTTGCAAATTATGCAAATATTCTTATTGCGCTAGTAGTTTTGAATAAAAGGTGGATGCACTTCTATTGTTTTATCCCTATATCCATAGCTGGCATTTCAGTTCCTAGTGCCACAAATTTTGTAAAACTTCTTATTTGCCAGCGGTTATCTTGGAAGAGTGATTGTACTTGTCATTATTTTTTTCGTATAACTTTAGCTGGCAGTCAGTTCTTAGTGCTGCATATTTGGACAAAGAACTACTGCAATTATGAAAAACTTCACACTACAACAACGGTTTTATAGGAAAAGAGATTGTACATCTCATTATTGTTTCTATGTCACTTGTAACTATTAGTTCAATTCTTAGAACCACAAAACATCATACTGCGCCGCTGTTTTGTAGGAAAAGTGCATGTACTTCTTATTATTATATTGTTTCTCTTAATTTCTAGCTAGCATTTCAGTTCTTACCACCACAGATTATGCAAAACATCATACTGCGCCCACTGTTTTGTAGGAAAATTGCATGTACTTCTTATTATTATATTGTTTCTCTAAATTTCTAGCTGGCATTTCAGTTCTTACCACCATAGATTATGCAAAACGCCTATTTGTGCCAGCAAATTTACAGCAAAAAACTCATGCACTTCTCAATATTCTTTTCCTGTAAGTACAGCCATTCCCTTCACTTATTGTTTCTCTTAATCTCTAGCTAGCATTTCAGTTCATACCACCACAGATTATGCAAAACATCATACGGCGCCCATTGTTTTGTAGGAAAAGTGCATGTACTTCTTATTTTTATATTGTTTCTCTTAATTTATAGCTAGCATTTCGGTTCTTACCACCACAGATTATGCAAAACGCCTATTTGTGCCAGCAAATTTACAGCAAAAACTCATGCACTTCTCACTATTCTTTTCCTATAAGTACAACCATTCCTTTCACTTACAGGCCCCAACATTAGCACAAAGAACATAATAGACTACTGATTTTACAATGAAAAGGGAGACAGTGCCTTCATGGCTAGAAATATTACTTGCAACACAATTCTTTGCAACTTGTGCAAACCATCTTCTTGCTAGTCGCAACGAGTGTAACCTATTTTGCACCCAGTGTGAGGCTAAACCAGCTGCTTTCTGCAACTACTGCCGTTCAAGCGATCATTCCACTCATCGGGTAATCCAGGTAAGAAATGTGTAGTTGTGTAGTCAATGGAAATGTAAAACATTTCATATATCATACATGTCATACAATCAAAACTTTACAATTTGGATGTTTTTCTTTTGTTGCTTCTTATGTCACCTCACAATTAGGAAATGTTATAAAACTTTACATTAAATGTGTTCTAAATTTGGGTGTATAAAAATATTAATTCATAGGCCATGGGTCCTTTGAGCAAGCACACACATATGATCTATGAAAGGATGGCAGTATTTAAGTTTCAAATAATTGGTTGTTTCAGATAAGGCGATCATCCTACCATGATGTTGTGAGGGTTTCAGAGATTCAAAACATCCTTGATATTAGTGATGTGCAAACTTATGTAATCAATAGTGCAAGGGTCGTATTCTTGAATGAGCGCCCACAACCGTGTGCTTCTAGTGTCCCCATTTGTAAGGCACCTTTGTCATCAACACATAGCTGTGAGACATGCAGTCGTGCTCTACTTGATGTATTTCGCTTCTGCTCTCTTGGATGCAATGTAAGTTATCACAAACTATCTAAGGATGTTATTTTCTAAAAAGCACAAAAATAAGAAATAAGTTTCATAATTGATGGATCGCATATATCTAATAAAATTCTTACCTTTTACAGCTTAGAGGCTTAAATATGGAAATGAGTACGCCAGCTATGGTTGAAAACAGCCCTCAATCCAGTGGTAAGGATCATGTGACTAGGATCTATGATGTTGGTTCAAGTACTACAAGTGACAAAGATAGCTGCAATGACAAGAACAACGAAGAACCACCACCAAAAAGGGTTGCTCGTCACCGACGCAAGGGAATTCCCCAACGTGCGCCATTCTTCTAATGTGAAGCTCATGACAATATCCATTAAATGTTGGGGCAAATAAGATGAGAGAACATTTGTCATGGGTACAATAAATGAATGAATGAAAGACCCCAATTCTAAGTAGGGTTGATTTCTTCAAATTGCGAGCCTTTCAAAAACATTTTGCTAGTTGATTTTTTCTAAAAATTGTTGATTTTTCCATGGATTGAATTGTATAATTCTGTATCAAACTGGCTAAATTGTTTATCTGAAAATAGGGGTAAAACACAAATATCAAAATAACAAAACAGGGGTAAAAATGCATAGGCAAAGTTGTCCTTTATCCAAAAGTTAACACCGTTAGGGGCACTTCACATAGTAGTGGTAAAGTCTCTTTTCGTTTTGAAATCGCATGGCTAAAATCACAAAGTTAAAAAAACGAGGGCAAAATCACCATTCGCTTCAAACGCTTAAGCCCCTTTTACTTACGTACCGGCAACGATACTTCTGTTACTTCCAAGTCTAAAATTAAATCGGATCCATTTCTGCGAAGAATCAGTAGAAACGGTTCCAAACGGGTTTCCAGCGCAAAGAATTGAAGCGGAACCGATCCCCCTTCCTTCAACGAGTTTCGAAACGGCCATGGGGTGGTTTCGCACCGATTCGCTCTCCATTCTGATGATATGCCCATTCGTTAAAAATTACCACAACTGCCATCGCCTCCCTTATCCATTCGGTCACCGCGAGAGCTCCCAACACCTCGGACATCAGGATGCTCCGACGGCCTCCTCCCCTAACGGCGACCGCGCGCCCTCCCTTGGCGACCTCCTCTGTGCCGCTCCCCCATCGACGGCCCCTCCGCTGAAGGCGACCGCGCACTCCCTCGACGACGACCGCGCGCTGCCACCACCTCTCTGCCCCCTCCTCGCGCACGCGCGTACGCGTGAAGCACGCTGCCCAGCTGCGCACTGCCGCAACGAAGCCGATCGCGAGCGCCGAGCACCTGGCCGTGTGGCTCTGCTATGCTCTGCTCGGTGAAGCCAAGCAAGGCTTATTTTGCCCTGTGATAACTCAAGAAAATAGCATCATATATTAAGGGCATTTTGGTATATTCCACCACATTTACCTCTACTCCGAATCCAGGCAGACATGCGAACGGTTCCCACAAGCGATTTTGTTTCTTAGAGAAATGTTTCTCCAGAAAATCCAAATTTAAAATATTTCACCCAGAATTTGGATCCCTACCAAACGGCTCCTGATGGGTTGACAGGGATTACGGTTTCTATAATAGTGTGTAGCAAAAATATTTCCCATACGATTCTTAGGCCCCGTTTAGTATGGCTCCTTTTCGGCTCATATGAAGAAGCCTACCAAAAGTTTAGTAGGAGGAGCCGTTTGGAGTGTTTCCAGTGAAAAAGAGAAGTCGAAGTCGTTTTGGAGGAACCTCGGAGGAAGAGTCCTACAAGATTGGGCTAATAAAATTTTCCTTTTTCACCGAAATTACCTTTATTTATACAGTACGTGCTTGAGTAACTCTATTCAGAGAAAATGCTTAGATCTTTACAGAACTGCCCTCAAAAAGATCTTTATAGAACCATGAGCAACTAAGAAAATTTCACTACACTTTTTTTAAGATAACGGAACAAGGTTCCACCCTCTATCGTCCGGTAATTTCGCTACGGTGTATCCTTGCATCGTGTGAATTTTCTTTGGTTTTCTAGATTCGCTAAAGAAAATCATGTAACACTAATGCAATGCTCGGATTGTTTTGCTTCTTATAAGTAATAAAATATATTATAATGTATGGCAGTGCTCTTCCGAATTGTTAGGAAAAAAAATCGCTAAAAAAACAGCCGCCAGTATTTAATCTCGGGCAGAATCTACCGACTAGACGCGGTTTAGTTGGTGCTGTACGAATTGATGAACTTATCATCTTTTTTATTTAGGACAACCGTGGCAATAAATCGTCACATGCATATGCATGCGTGCAGTACTTGCATTGCATCGCTGCATTCCACCGCACAACTCCTCCATGTGCCCTCTTCTTTGATCAATCCATTTAATTAATTTCCGGTTAAAATTTTAATTTGAAATCTAATTAATCCACTCAAGAAACCAAATTCAATTTACACAGAAATCATCTCTCTTTCTCTTTCTATGTCACGCCGCGCACCGACGACGTACGAGTACGACAGATCAATTGGTGTTGAACGCGGAGCAGACGTCTCTGACCTCGCCGGCGTCGTCCCCGGTGATGGCGCCGATGCTGCCCATCTGGACCATGGCGGCGGCGAAGTCCCGCTCGAAGCTGCGCGCCGAGGGGCCCAGGTACGCGTCGACGAGCGCGCGGGTGGCGTTGCTGTTGGCGAGCGCGGCGTCGGAGGCGATGACGGCGAAGCCGGAGCGGATGTTCCGGAGGATGGAGTCGTCGAAGTCGGTCCCGCTGCCGCGATCCAGCGGCAGGCGCGTGTTGAAGTCGCCCGGCGGGCACCGGGCCTTGAGCTCCGCCAGGAACGGCGCCGGGATCGACGGGTCCGCGCCCCGCCCGCCGCCCGGCAGCGGGTAGCTGTACAGCCGGTCCTTCACGAAGAAGCACGCCGTCGTGCCCACCGTGTGCGCCGCTGCGGCCGGTCTCGTACGTTTGCACCAGTGAAGTGTCAGTGATAAGCGGCTGGCGGCGTCCATGTCCATGCACGTTAAGGTGAAGGACTGAAGGTACCTACCTGTGAGGAGGACGAGGTCGCGGTCGTCGAGGCCGCTGGCGGCGAACCGTGAGCGGAGCACGCTGATGGAGTCGGCGGCGTCCGGCAGCACGTCGGCGTCGCGGAGGTTGGAGGTCAGCCCGTCGCGCCGCCCCGTGGGCACGTCGAACGACGGCCCGCCCGTCTGGTTGGCATGGGATGCATTCCAATTTCCAGCGCGTCAGGTACTCTCCCATCATCTACCTAGGTAGTATAATATCCGGTTGGATGTTACCATGGCGACGGCGTCGCGCGCGGCGAGCGCGATGATGTCGGCGCAGGAGACGACGCCGGGGCACTGGTCCTCGAGCTGCGCCTTGGCGGCGTCCACCACGTCCTGTCCGCGCAGGCCCTGGTTCTTGGCGTTGTCCACCTCGGCGTCGTTGCTCGCGCTCCGGATCAGCACCGACGCGTCGCACCCCTGCATATATTGCCGGACGCCGGACGCCGCCCGCCGGCGAACACGCACATTACACAGGTATGTCCGTAAAAGCTAGCAGGCTAGCAGCAGTAATCGGCCGGACTTGCTGGACACGAGGACGCAAACACACGTCGTATCATACCTTGACGAAGCAGTCGTGGAACTGGAGGCGGAGGAGCGCGGGGAGGATGGTGGGGTCGTTGGTGGCGGCGTCCTGGACGGCGGCGGTGACCGTGTCCTCGGCGTCCGGGCAGGAGTCGGAGTAGAAGCCCACCTGGAGCTGGGCACTGCCAACTCCAACTCCAACAAGCAACAGCAAGAACGCAGCCACCGCCGCGCCGGCTCGGGACACCATGCCGCCGCGGCTGCTGGCCATTGATAGCTCCAAGAAGATGAGCTAGCTAGGAAAGGAAACCAATGGCAACCTGCTGGCCGAGGCCGGATCGAGTCTCGGTGAATGGACGGCATGGCAAGCTGTGGAACTTGTCTTGAGGAATATGTACAAACATATGGTTTCAGTCCACTGAAATCTGTATGGTACAAGGTACCCACGGATGCTGTAGGTTTTTGGAAACAGTACAGATTGCCATTTGTGTACAATTTTCCCCCTTCTTTTCCACCACGATGCTGAACGTTTTGGGGGACAGTAAAACCCACCGGCGCGTGTGATCATTATCTACTGACGCGGTGGCGGCTGGTCTGGTTTCTCCAGCCGTTTTTTTACTCCCGTGACTGCAAACCAACGCCACCGTCTGCCAGTGCAGCTTTGTCCGCCGGGGATCTCAATGTGCAAATGGTAGCAAGAGACCAAAGAGGATCAGTCTCAGCCTGATGTAAAGCTTCTGCTCCATTAGCTGGTATGTAGCAAGGAACTTTTCGAAACAAGACACTGCCACTTTTCCTCAGAAAAGCAGACAGTTTTCGGTTTTTCCCCCCTGAAAAAGGTCATCGGTTACCTTGTATTCATATAAAAAAAAATACTAGACCATTTCGCCCATGTTAGTTACGGTTCCTACTTTGACCACATGTGTGTTGGTAACTGCTTGGTGTGACGGTAACCTCTCTTGAGTAGTAGTCTCTTCCCTGAACCCATGCATCCAACCATACACGATGGACTCTTTATTATGTACCTTTCTCTTCCTTTTCTCTTCAAGTTGTTGACCATGACGTCTCTCCTTCTATGCTCTGTTTGATATCGCAAAATATCTCCAAATTCTAGCAATTCCACTGTCAGTTCTCTTTTTTCTTTTGCACGGCCTGAAGCAACCTCCATAGTCGTACGTTTGAACTCACACATTTGCTTTTTTCGCATCCATGCAAGTTGTATAATAATCAACCCTTAGGATCTCCCTTCACATGTTACCTTCTCATCCCAATTATGCTTGATTGCTCATAGCTATGAGAATTTTAATGTCAGGATACATTCGGACCCATATAGGATCTACCAAGTCCATAACCTCTCAAAGGGTTTGAAGTGGTTTCCCTCCACGCGAGATGTGAGAATCAGCAGGATCATTTTTTTTTAGTGATGAGAAATCAGGATCACAATTGCGGACCACTTCAAAAGTTTAGTGATTGAAATCCTCACTTTGAGAGTTTGTGGTGCTAGATGAGGATCTAGGAAAGTTTAGTGATTGAAATCCTCACTTTGCTTACAGTAATAGGCAAAGTTGCACGCCCATAATCTGTTGCTAGAGGACAAATTCCCAAATGGTCCAAGAAGGATTGTTCTACGTACCCATTGCTCTAACTCTAAATAATCAGACCTTCCTAATTAAACATCCCTCCTGAGCGCCAGGCGATGTGTCGGTGTATGTACTATTCTTTGATTCATCAACAGAGAAGCTTGGACCATGTGTGAGTAATTTCGAATAGCACTACACATGTACTTGTACCATACAGATTTCAGTGACAAGTATGTATGAAGTCGTGGAAATTCTTTGCATACCTACAGCTTCCGATAATAAACTCAGAAAACCCGAGGCATGCATGGTACATACATACACAATAACTGCGTACTTACACCACGGTATAATGAAAGGTCTAAAAGTTGTCTGCCATTACGGTGGTCACGTACATCAAGCTTTGCACTGTTGTGAACGTTGAATATTTTTCAACACGTTTCCTCTACACTCCGTGTACCTGAAATCTCTTCACGCGACCTGCTCCCACGTAAACTCCCACGCCCGCGCCGCCCCCCGCACCCGTGCCCATGCGCCTGACCGCGCCCGTGCTACCCCCGCCACCCCGCGCCCACACCCCACCAGAGATGAAGACGACGGCGGCGGCAGTGGTGGCCTCCCTTTCCAGCCTCTCCTCCTCTTTCCTCTCCAAATCCAGCAGACATAGAAGGGGTTCTGAGGGGAGGCAGGCTGGCAGTGCCGGCCCTAGGGGTAGGGCACGAGGTGCGACGGCCGAAGGCCCAAGCAGAAGAGGGGCCCAAGCCCAAGTATACAAACCCCCAGGTCCTATAGTCCATTAGGCATTAGCAAACTAATGAGAAAATAGACAGAACTGGTCAGGCGGCCCAAAAAGACAACATCGGTATTTTTTTTCTAGTTTCCTTTTCCCACGGCCCTCAGGTAAAGAGGAGACGAGGAGTCACGCTACACACAACATACTCTGATCGTGAGTTCGCGACGTGCGCCTTACACACGCTGAGCTGGCGAGCCGTGCCGCCATAAAGAGCTAGACTACCGGAAACACGGACACGACGCACGAGGACGGCGACCAGGCAGGGCTCCACGACGACGACATCTTGATTATTGGCTTCTTACGAATTGCGATCACCGATCAGTTGTTTAGACCCAAGATATTTTTTATTTTTATTTTTAATCCAAATTAATTATTTGTATATTATTCCAGACTTCTAGTACTTTGTATCCATATAGTCATATTTTTCTTCTAATTTAAGTGTTAGAATTTTAGAATGTTATCTAAGAAACATTTGTCATGGGTGAGAAAAGAAAACGAATATATTGTTTTTTTAATCTACATTGTTCCTCGATAATTATCATACATCTACAAATATATTGTTTAATCTACATTGTTCCTCGATAATTATCAGACATGCTAAATTAAAAATATGTTATTGAATTTGCTTTCGTTTTGCAAGTAAAATTAGTGTCTATATATTATAAGATTTTATACATGATCAAGAGAGGCCGTTACGACGAGATCGCCAGAGGGCCCTTAAAATGCTAGGACCGGCACTGCAGGCTGGCCAGGCGGTGGGGACGGGGGCGGGCGGCTTCAGGTCCTAGCGGCGGTGGAGGCGGCCGGGCCAGGTCGGGCGGGGGTGTCGCGGCAGTGCTCGTCGGAGTTGGAGAAGATAGCGGCGGGAGGGGAAGAAGGCGACAGCCACGGGTGCGGTAGGGTCTCGCCAGAGCTCAGCGGCCACGCGGCAAGACCCTACCACGCCACGGGCAGGGCGGTGGGGGTGGGCGGCGGCTGGCACGGACGCAAGGAAGAAGAATAGTGCGCGAGCTACCACAGCCACACGATGAAGATCCGACGGCTGTGAATAGTCGCCTGAACATTAGCAAATCCCATTTTTCAAATTTTAACTGGTCAGTAATCCATCGATTCAGAGAAACTGGGAGTAAAAACTACTATGTACCTAGATACTAACAATTCAACATCTCTATAAGCAAGTTATTTTCAGGGCTTCAGGCACAAGATGGCCTCACATGTCACAAACATTCTGTTAATTCAGTATGCTACTTCTGTTACCCTTACTACTAATGTTTTTAATATTAGAAACCACTACATGAGTCCTCTGAATCCAACCACGCAGTATTTCCTCTCTAATTTCCTACTTGCCTTCAGCAAGAACAACAGAATGAAGAAAACGGAATTCAGATTAGCTAGATCAAGGGGAGAGGAACACGGTGAGGGAAGTGAGGCACCACAAGGGGGGAGGGGGGGCTGTTCCTCTCCCCTTCTTGTTCTTCTTTACAGCCTTCTCACCCTTATTCTCACTGGCCTCCCGGGATGCTGCTTCTTCAGTGGCGTCCTTCTTTTTCCTCGCATCTTCAGCTTCTTGTTGCTTAGATGACTCCGGCGCCTTCCTCTCCATAAAACCAAAGCAATCCAAGCCCAGGACCATCTTGATACTTGAATTTTGATTATGGATCCCCCCTTTAACTTCTTGAACGTGTAAAATATAATTGTATCGGCTTAAACCCTCTAGGCTGCCTGTACGTCTCATATATATACAGTTACGCACAGGACTTCCAGTACATGGCCGAACCAGGCTGTCCTATACCGATAACAGCACAGTGCTAGATTCCAATACTATTACGTATTTCTACAGCCCCCCTCAATCACAACTTGCACAAGTTGAGATTGTTTCTAAATTCATGTAGCCTAGACACTGATTGTGGCTTTGTAAATCCATCAGCTACTTGATCATTACTGGAAATAATCCAAACATCTAGGAGCTTCTGTGCTACACAATTCAGAGAAACTGGGAGTAAACTGAGATACATGCGCCCTGTTCGTTTGGGCTTGTTTGACTGATAAGTCATGGCTGAAAGTACTATTGGCTGATTTAGTGTGAGAGAAAAATATTGTTCGTTGACTGAAAAAGTACGGCTTATAAGCCAAACAAGCCTAAACGAACAGGGCGATGAACTACTATGCAACCTAGATACTAAACAATTCAACATCTCTATAAGCAAGTTATGTTCAGGCACAAGATGGTCTCACAGGTAACAAACATTTAGTTAATTCAGTATGCTACTTCACTCTACATACTACTAACTTTGTAACTCTTTTACAAACCACTACTCTGAATCCATCCACTCGGTATTTCCTCTCTAATTGCCTACTTGCCTTCAGCAAGAACAACAGAAAGAAGAAAACGGAATTCAGATTAGCTAGATCAAGGCAGGGGTAGAACGGCTAGGGAAGTGAGGCACCACAAGGGGCGCCCCTGTGCCTCTCCCCTCCTTGTTCTTCTCTACAGCCTTCGCATCCTTATTCTCACTGGCCTCCCGTGATGCTTCTTCTTCTGCTGCGTCCTTCTTTTTCCTCGCATCTCCAGCTTCTTGCTTCTTAGATGACTCCGACGCCTTCCTCGCCATAAAACCAAAGCAATCCAAGCCTAGGACCATCTTGATACTTGGATTTCGATTATGGATCCCTCCTTTCACTTCTGTTGAGTGCACTTGTTTTTTTTTTCTGTTTTGTATCTCCTAGTTGTGGTTGTTCTTCAGCTGTGGTGAACTTTTATCACTGCTGGGTTAATTGTTTATATATATGGGGAAGGGGCAGAGTCCTTGTCATGCAAGCTTTGTGGAAATTTCGAGGATAAGTGCAACACATTGACAAATGATGCTGACAACAAAGACTAGCTGTAGTTTAGTGGCCTAGTGGGAGTTGTTACCTTGGTGGGCAAGGATCTTCAAGAATTCAGCAAGGCACTGCGGTATTTCCTCTTTGGATTTTTTTTTTTGCATAATAATGCTTTTCATTTTAATTTGAATGAATCCAACGAAATGAGACCTATCTTATACTATTATTGGGGCATATTTATATAGCAGATTTTATTACAAGTACATAGAACTTATTGAAATTTATACTAATAAATAGACTTTTTTCAAAGGTATATGAAACATTGCCAGAGCAATACCCTCTTCCAAACAGCTCTTTTGTTGACACCGGTTCGAGTCACACACCGGTAGGGGCTAGATCGCCCAAAGGCCGCACACGATCGAGCACACAGCGGAGGCAGATCCCAATGGCGAGACCGATCAGACGCTCGTTCTTCGTCCGATAAACCCACGAACGCCTCACAGGAAGACTCGTAGCGGAGATGCACGGTAGGGGTGTTCTAGGATCGACAAAACCGACATATCTCGTCGAGAGATGCACTGGACAGCACAGGGTTGGAAGAGCTTATAAGGTATATAGAAGATAAAAAGTAATAGATGCTGTGTTTTTTTGACGACTGGGTGCTGGATCCCTCAATCGGTCGTCACCCTATATACATAAAGAGAGGGGCTGGTCTTTCCGGTACCGAGAATAATAGAACAAAAATCGGCCATATTGATTTTCCGTACTATAATCGGACTTAGATAAAAATCCCAACAAGGACGTGACGTACTTGTGTTCCTCCACGTCAGGAGTCAGGACGTATTGTCGAATCACCCCCGGCCAAAGTTACTTGCATCTTGGCTCACGGGATCATATACACGGACCCAGTGGAGTGATTTCTGTTATTTCCTTCTACGTGGAGTCTCCGAGAGTCCGAGATAATAATATACAAATCCATATTATATTTTCTTTTCCGAATTCCCTTCATGGATCAATCTCGGGCTAGGCATTGCGTACCACCGCTGGACTCAAGTCCAAGTGCACGTGTGCCTTTGCAACCAATGCATCGTGTCCAGCGGACTGAGCCAAGAAAGCTTGTGCACTCAAATAATCGGCCACAGAATATTAGCCTGATTAAGTAAATAATTTAGTATATCAAATATTCAAATCTTGCTAAGCAATAGACTCAGGCCAAATATGAGTGTCAACACCTTTATAGTTTATAAGGCAATTCTTTAGCCTATGGATGAGTCTGACTGTACCCTCCTGCCCGACCTTTTATGTCACAGAACCGACCAATTTATAAGAGCACAAGTACAAAAACAATCGCCGAAACGATTAAATTCTCGAACTTGAGCACATATAAACCCGGTAGTCAACTGAAATCTCGAAGGATTTAAAACCAACGACCAAGATCACAGTAATTCAACATAACATATCGTATGTTACAACATTTCACAGACGTTCGCAAATAGATTACATCATCACAGAGTCATCGTTATTACAAAACAAGTCTTGTAAAACATGCGGAAGCAAATAGTTTAACTTACACACACGAGTTCAAATACACATACTGGTTCGCTGATCACAGCCCGCAAAAGCATTCAGATAAGAGAACAGAGATCATGCCCATGATCTAGTCTTCATCACCCGGCGGGTGGAGACAATACTTACAGAAACCCTGATATAGAAGGTCATCTGCAACAAAAGGGAATAAACCCTGAGTATGGGAATGTACTCAGCTAGACTTACCCGTCGAAAACCAAAATAAATGACACCAAGGATTATGCATAGCTTAATGTAGTGGATCCGGCTGACACTTTCTTTTTGCAGAAAAACATAAGTATTAATGATCAACTCTTAGCCTGAACTAGCAGTGACTTTTTAGCCATTAACCTGCCATCTATATTAGCACCTATACTAAGCAATCATTTTATTAGGGTGCAAACATTAATAACCATATCAGGTATTCATTGTGGCAACCTTATCATCATCATCAATTTAACCATATCGCTAAATTAATTGAATCTACGTTGCCGCTGCTCAGTCAAGTTCTCACTATCCGGGAGAGACGGCGATTCGAATCGATTCCTATCCAGCTGGAGGGGTATTCCTAAACACAAACCCTGCTTCCCCCGTCGGAGTCGCAAACAAGTCACCTTTGGTATGATTGAAGTCGCGAGTCCGATCGGATCGACATTCTCGGAGAACCCACTGTCAAGGTTGTTCGGGACTCTAACCCGCCTTGGACTTATGCCAATGGCTCTCCGCACATCCTTACTACCTCCGAATGCATGCTTTGCTCGCGTCCCGTCACGAGTCGAGCTACTAGGCTTCATGGTCGGAACGACTTATCCGGCCAAATAAGTGTTAAATTTGTGTTCAACATGACATGAGGACGTCTGACGTATCGGTCCTTAAATGACTCGAGACAGGGGTCACTATGTTCAAACCTACACAAGACCCCTTTGGTCTTAATTCATTATTCACATGGTTCTTTTCCACGATAGCAAATATAGCCAACCGTGATCCATCTCACCCTAAAGCTCGCGGTGACGAGAAAATCACACGACTTCTACCGCACTAAGCATGGCTAAGCATTTAACCCGTTCTGAACTTAAATAGGATTCGGTGGCGATATCACGGACAAGGAAGGATATATAATGCAGCAATTGGTTCCAACCAATTCATATACTTAATGCATCATCAACAATAAAAGATACTCAATGTATTTGTAAAAATATGGGAGGCTTAATATGCTCCGGGACTTGCCTTTCAGGAACGAGGAAGGCTGGTGGTCAGGGCACTCGGGCAATTCCTCCACGGCGACTGCTTCGTCGGCTTCCTGCACCTCGGGTTCCTCCTCCTGGTTGGCTCCCTCGAACTCCAGCAACGTCACTCCCTCCGGCACACCAAGTTTATACAACCTAATGTATAATTGCTCATCTTCAGTTAATGACCTAGCACCTGCACCTAAGCATATTCTCAAGTTAGGCTAACCCCTAAACAATCAACGAGAACATTGCAACAACATACACTCAAGCATTTGTATTTCAGCAAAATGAAGACTATGTAGCGGTGCAGTAAACTAGCCATAACTAGAGATTTATAATTTCAAATGACATGCAACAAGACAATCTGGAAAGCTTATGAAATTGTCTACAATTCATTTTTAGACCTCAAAGCATGATTCAACACTTTACCAAGTCGAATTCATAAATCAACAGAACTCTGTCCTCACAAGGCAGAGAGTAAGTAAAACTGGAACCTAATTTAAACAGTTGTAGTTTCTAAACTATTAGGCCAAATGCCCTCAAATTTTGACAGGAGCTAGATACATAAATTATCTACAACTTTTGTATTCATCACATTTACAGCAAATCAAAATATCATGGGAAACTTTCCAAAGTCCCCAGATCTGTCCAGAAGGACATAATGCCAACGAATAATTATTACTTATGATATAAACACATGATTGGACAAAACCAACCTTACTGACATATCACACATATCACAAGAACACCAGAAAGTAGGGTGTTCATCCCCAAAACATTTCTTTTAATACCTTTCTTAATTTAATTAATTAATTAGAGGAAATAGTAAACATATATGAAAACTATACCATTAAATCTACAAAAATTACAGTAAACACTACATGCCGTAAGTATACTACCATAAAAATTTCACACCATTTGAGTAAGTATAACAACCTACACAAAAATGGTAAGGCAGAATGTCTTAAAATGGCATAATTAGGAAACCTTAGTGAAAAGTGTCAAGCAACAGATTTCGTATTTTTCCTAGCATCCTTAAGGTACTAAGATACTACCTACCAAGTTTCATGGCCATAGGATTCCTAGATAATTTACAAAAATTCACACAAGTATCCACAAATGATAAAAGGAAAAATCTATAACTCAAAAACTACACATCCAATGACTCTCAAATTTTAACCAGAACTTCTACTAAGCAATACTAGCTTACCCACAAAATTTCACAATTTTTGGATCACATAAACTCAAGATATGATTTAAACAAGTTTGCATGCATTCAAAAACACATTTCAAGTTTCAATTTAATTCATCCAAATTTTCCACTACAAGTGTTCATGTCATATTTTTACTAAATACTAGACCTCACTGTGAGTCTAACAAAATTGGAAGTACTCAATTTGGATCTACCAATTTGTTGTTACAAAATTTACAAAACAGCACTAAAAACTGGAATTTTTGAACTATCTTCTACTCAACGGTCACTGACGAGCGGGGCCCTCGGGTCAGACGACCCCACCTGCCAGCGAAAGAAAACAGGGGACGGCGGCGTTCGATGGCCCGGCGATGGTCTAGCTCGCCGACGGCGAGGACTCCGGTGACACCAAGGCTACCTACGTGCTCTCTGTGACGAGGGGAAACGATTTGTGCAAGTGTCACGGCCTAAGACCTAGCGGAGGTGGCTCGTCGCCGGTGATGGCGGCACGGCAGAGCTCCGACGAGATGTACTAACGACGGCGAGCCCTTGCTGCCTCATCCGAGCTCGGTATGAGCTCCACGAGGTCACTATGGAACTGTCCAAGCCAAGATAAGAGGACGAGGAGGTCTCGGTGGTGGGTGACCACAGTGAGGTCACCGGCGTGGCCATGGCGGCGGTGGCTGGAATGGTCACAGCGACCTTACCTAAGCTCGAATGGCTCGGCTAAGTGGTGGAGGACGTAGAGGCGAACACGGCGGAGCTATTGACGGGCTGGCCGACGTGTTTTTGCAGCGACGAGCAGGCACGAGTGCGGCGGAGCTTGCACGAC